AGGGGGGTTGGACTAGATGACCCACAGAGGTCCCCTCCAACCCCTACCATTCTGTGATTCTGTGAATACCCTTTGAAAAGGGTACATTGCTATCTGACAGTGACTGGCTACAGTAAACTGAGCTGTCGTATCTTCGATGCCCTCTTGTTTATTGGACTTGAAGTTAGAAAAGGATCTGGTTGTCAGTCATTGCCCATAGGTCACAAGTTGCTTCTGGAGAGACAGTGGTAGTGTCATCACTTTGTCATCTGGAAGGATCTCAATGTTTTCAGTTGTAATTTTGCAATGCATTATTCTTGGAAATTTGTACTGCAAACCTCTGAACAAGGCTTCTCTTCCACTGAGCAGAAACATCAGTGGTATGCTGGAAAAACAAAACACTCATGGAATTTTATTATTTTTTTCTGTCACAGATGCAAGATTACTGTGATGACTTAAAAAATTAGCTTTTGGTGTTAATGGCGAAACCTTACATCTTCCATAGTATACTGAGGAATTTCTCATGTTCCCATCACTCAAGATCTCATGGGATAGTCTCCTGTGTGGAAGAATTTCATTAATTGTCTCCCTTTCAGGCTTTTTGGTTTTAACAGGTTACTTTGCCAATGTCCTGTATTGGGCCCGTATGTGCCTTAATCCAGAAGGACAAAAGAAAGTGTTTTGGGTAAGTAGCTGTTGTGACAGTACATCAGTCTCTTTGCCTTAGGACTAGGCCGTATTTGTCAATAGATGATGACTTCTCAAAGGCTTGTGCTGTCCGGGTGGTGATCATGGACATAGAACTGCTTCAGAGTAGGTCTAGAAGCTTGTGAAGTCTGCAGTTAGTGTGCATCCCCTTTGGTTTCCGAAAGTGTGTTTCCAATCTGGTGTACTGTTGATAATTGCTGTTTACAGTTGCAGCTTGAAGGAAGTGCTCTTGGAGACTGTAGGACTGCCATCTTGAAGCAAGGGACACGCTGACGCAATCGGTTGTGCTCAGTGTCGTAAGGTCAGTGGATCTTAAATACCTTAAATAAGAAGCAAGGAAAGTAACCAAATTGGTAGCTGCCCTAGCAAGTGCAACAAGACATGGAGGGCAGAGGTGTTCTGCTGTGATGGTTCTTCCAGGTCGGATCTTCATGGGGTTGGAGTAAACTTCCTGGATCTTGGGCTGCATCTGTCCACAGGGAAAAGAGGAGTCTATTTCCAGGGCTTGTTGAAACTGTATTTTTCCTGGAAATATTAATACTCAATCAAAAAACAAATAACACTAACATGCTGATGCTACTGATGAGGAGCAAAAGACGACTGTGACATACAAGAGACATGCCTGGAGGTCTCAATATGCCAATGTTTTACCTTTGAAAACTTTTGAATGGTTGCTGTTGGTAGTTTCCGATTCATTCATTGTCAGTCGCTATCAAGCACTGAATTCTGAAGTGTTTCTGTTTATAATTGCCCTGGTTTTGGCTGGGGTAGAGTTAAGTTTCCTCCCAGTAGCTGCTGTGGTTTGGATTTGGTACAAGAAGAATGTTGATAACACTGATGTTTTCAGTTGTTGCTATGAAGTCAAGGACTTTTTTCCAGTTTCTCGTGTTCAGCTAACGAGCAGGTGTGCAGGAGCTGGGAGGGAGCACAGACAGGCTGGCTAATGGAAATATTCTGTACCGTAAATGTCATGCTCAGTTTATGAGTGGGGGTTGGCTGGGGGGCTGGAAGCTGTCGGCTCGGCTCAGCTCTTTCCTGTGAGTTTGAACCTCTCTTGTCTGGGGTTTCAAACTTTTCTGGGGAATTCAGCGAAAATTGTGATTTCCAGGTTCCATGATTGCTGCTCAGGGTCTGACTGTGAATTTGTCATCAGGTGGTGACAAAATTGTATTGTATATAGTTTGCTTTGCATATTCATAATTATTGGTACAATTATCATTAGTATTAGTATTTTTCCTTTGTTGTTGTATTAAGCTGTCTTCATCACAACCCACAAGTTTCCCCTTGTCCATTTCTCCTCCCCATCCCACTGGGGCAGAAGGAGACGGGTGACCGAGCGGCTGTCTGGTGCTTAGTTGCTGGCTGCCATGTTAAACTATGACAATAATAATAATGGAATATCTGAATGTGGCCTAGTAAAGGGGAGAGGCTGGAGATTCCTGCATGAGATCAGCCATGAATCCATGTGAAGTTATCATTTGGACCAGCACACTGCGGGGATCCCATTGCGCTGGGGGAGAAAAGGCGGCTGATGATCCTGAGGTGCAACATGTTGAGCACTGAAGTGAGCAAGTGTTTCTGCTTTCTTTTGGGATGAGCAGACAGACTTGTCGAATTGCCTGTTTTAAGCAATACATAAATAGTATTCTTATGCAGAGCTTCCTACTTTGGTATTTTGACTGTCACAAATTGTAATCAATAAGAGTGGGCACTTAATTTGTTGTCGTCTTTGTTGTTGTTGAAATGTTTTTTTTTAATGTATCTGCACTACAATTGTGTTGTGGTGGCACCTAGTTCTCAGCAAGTACCTGAGGTTATCTTGCAACATCTGGTGGCTATATTCTATGTGTTTTTGTTACAGAGGAAGAGATCAATACATTCTGGAACTTAGAAAAATACATATATCTAATATTTTTAACTGTTTTCCTAGCTAGATTGTCAGCCTGTGCTGTAAGTTTTCAAGAATTTGGACATGTCTGTGGATGCAACATGTTAATTTCAAAAAAAAATGAGGGAAGGTTTGTCCTGTACTGGTACACCTTGCAGTTCTTTAGCATTGGTTCAGTGACTTGCATTGTTCAAATTGAGTGGGTCTTACAATAAGCTTTCAGTTGGTTAAAATGACTTTTACAGTGAGTTTGTGCTCAGCAAAATGATAAGCTACCCAGCTTCTGTTGAAGCTGGCGTGCAGGTTCAGAGTTATTGGATGGGAAGAGGAGAGAGGGAATAGGCTGTCGTGTGCTGTGCAGAGATTGACCAGAAAAGAGTGA